GAGACTGTGGTTCACAATCTCAGCAGTATTCACGGGGTACACACTCCCTTGGGTGCCTAGCACAGTGCAAACGTAAGCCAGTGGAACATGGCCACCAGCAGAAGCAGAGGCTGAGCAAGCTGCTAGAGGGAGACAGGAAGTGGAATAGGGATCAGATCAGACTGTATCAGATACCCATGTTGTCTGGAAATACATCAAAATCCTGTATTTTTCCTGTATTTACCTGGGGCAAACTCACAAACAGTAGGAATCACCTCATCTTCTAAGGCCAATCTGACTAGGTAACTACCACCTGAAACTTCCTAGCTAAGAAGACATAAAGCCAAGTCCCAAGCTGCATCAATTTCCTAATTTGGCTACCAAGGATTCCCACAAACATATGAGCTTAAAACACTGCCCTTTGCTACCCAACAGTTCGAGGACATCAGACAGATATGAGTCCCACTGAACTAAAAATCAAGGACTGAGCTCCTTTCTGAGACCCTTCCCTTGCCTTCTTCAGAGGCTGCTACATCCCTTGGCATGTCCTGTTTTTGTCTTCAAAGCTAGAGATGGCATCTAAAACCCTCACCTCACATCACTCTAACACTGACTCTTCTGTCTCCCTCTCCCAACTTTAAGGATGCTTGTGATCATTGTGAGCCTGCCCAGACAACCCAGGATCACCTCCCTATTTGAACACCAATTGATGAGCAACCTTTTTCTATCTGCTACCTAATTCCCCTGCCAAGCAACATAACATATCACAGGCTCTGGGGATGGGGGCATATTGTCAGGAAGCCATCATTCTACTCACCACACAACCCCTCTCCAACTCACCCCCCATGTCCCAACAGAGTCCCAACTATTTAGTAATACCCATACATGAAACCTACCGCTTCCATATCAACATCCTATTTTCCAGTTACACTAACTTTCTCATCTATTTCTAATCAACTTATTTCATCTGTGCCCAGACATTTACAACGTATCCTTTAGGGCTTAGCCCAAAGGCTACTTCCTCTATGAAGCTTTCTGATACTCTCAGTTTATCATCCCTCAGCACACTCAGCAGGCTGTGCATCCCAGCCGCATCACAGGGTAGCCACTTGCAACCATCTGTTTACATGCTCTTCCTCAGTACAAATGGTGAGCCTTTCTAGGACAAGAACTCTGTTACACACACACACACACACACACACACACACACACACACACACACACACGAGCTCCCAGATCACAACACAAGATTCAGCAAGAAAGAGTCCTTGTTTTAAGTATCTCAGAATACTCCTGAAACCTGGATGAAAAAAGAGGAAGCATCCCTTGAAGTTCCCTCCACAAAAGAAATGCCATGAGAAACTTAGGCCAGACAACTAGTTCAAGTAATTATTCCAAAAAACAAAGCTATCCACTCAGCTTGATGTACAACACACTGCCATGTGAAAGAATTTATACAAGTAACACATATCATTTTGTATTGCTAAGCTATGAAACAATTCTAAAGTAACCAACAAAATTACCCACAAGAGAAATAAAGACTTTATCTGAAATGATTTACATTCCTCAGAATTATACACATAAAAGTAGACATTGCTCCAACACGAAATGAATGCCTGACAATCACCAAAACTCACATTCTCAGCCTCTCTCCAGGGAAGGCTGAGAAGTGTGAGGGTGTTACAAGAGGCACTGTGTAGGGACAAGCTGCCCTGTAAACAGATACCTGCACATACTGCAATCAAGGGCTCTTTTTGTTTGATGGTAGTTTTTAAGAAAACAGACACTTGTTTAATTTCCGTGTTCATTACTTGATGTCCATATCCAGAAAACTACCCACCGGGGGAGAAAAAGAAAAATAACTATCTTTTCAAAGGGGAGATATGATTTGTTTTAAAAGCATCTCTCATTCAAGTTCAACAAAGATAGCCTGTCCATTTTTAATAATATGAATTCTGAAATGATTTTTAATATAATTCCAAAAACACACTCTCATTGAAATGAAAGTTTGAAGGAAAACTGGGGAGGTGAGGGAGAATACTGATTCAGTACCATGGACAGTGAACCCACAACTTGCCAGTGGGAATCCTTGCTGTAAAGGCTCAGAGACGCCCCAAAATCTACATCTCAGCAAATGCTTAGGAGGAGGCAAATTCAATGTGTGAGCAGGTATTTTTATTATATTCCAAAGCACCATACTCCTTCACCAAGTGGGTACACAATATACGTCTATACTAAATCTGCTCCAGTTATCTCCTTTACAATAAAGCTCTGGAGGTTTCTGTTCAAACAGAAATGACTTTGTCCCAACACATTAGAAAGTTCCAGAACTCAATGAAACTTATACAGAATCCAACCTCAACTGTATGAACTGTTTCAAGGGCCTGATGGGACTTTTACTATTTACACATGCAGCATGCTGTCTGGTATCCAACAAGGCTGAAAGGACAGCCTCGTCAAAACAGCTAACACTAGGTGATACATGCCTAATCTCATCATTTGGAAGGCTGAGGTAGGAAGACCTCAAGTTCCAGGCATGTCTAACCTGTATCCCAGTGGCCACATGAGGCCAAGAATAGCCATAAATGAGGCTCAAAATAATATTGTAAGCTTAAAAATATTATAATATTGTCAGCAATTACTTTGTAACTCAGTTGTGAGGTTATTGAGTGTGTAAACTTTGCAGATGATAACACTGTCTCACAATGACATGCTTGGAACTTGGGATACAGAACAAGATTTTGACTCAAAAATTACAAAATGTAATCATGCATCATATGTTTTATGTTGCATGCTTTTTTCTTATAAAAAGTTGTGAAAATGTATCATAATCCTGTGTGAACGTTCTTTTACCTACAAATGAGCATTACCGGGGCAACACCAGCTCTGAATTTCATTCAGAATTTCAGAATGTCCAATCTTTTCACTTATAAAGACCCTATTTCTAACAAACTTATTTTACTGTTTTCTGTGCACACATGCCCACGCATGTGCACACATACATGCCACAGTGCTCCTGCAGTGGTCAGAGGACAACTTTCAGGAATCGGTTTGCTCCTTCCACCATAGGTTCCAGGGACTGAACTCAGATCATCCGGCTTGCAAGGCACATGCTAAGCCATCCCACCATCCTGGAAACATTTTTTCAAAGCTCTATGATATTAAGCTCTAACTGTGTGCATGAAGTTATATAAACTCATGTGCACCGAGTGTGCGCTGTATTAACCACAGCACAAGTGAAAGCATCATGGTTGGAAAAGGAAGCCCTCAGCTGAACAACATCTGAACTCGTAGCTAGAAGACCCAGCTCGCTGGAGGACCTCATGTCTCAAGACACCATGCCAAGCTCCTCTAGGCCCTCTGATGCTCCAGCCATTTCCAGGGAGCACTCATCTGTACACGCTCCGCTCGGGAAGAAAATGGGCATATCGGATGTTAGATAATGAACTGTCCTTGGTGTGAGGCCTGAGAGTCAGTTCTCGGTATAGACACACCCTGCAGTGTCTAGAGTCTGGCACCTAAATCACAATTAAGTCCAAAGAAGAGAAATGGGGCACAAGTTTGCCTCATAAGTTTCGGGAGGGCTGTGTCACAGAAAAGTGTGTATGCTAGCTATTCAATCTGGCCTCCAAAGGTCTTTCTCCAAGGCCCTGGCACCCAGAATTCCTTTTGGTGCAGCACCCACTAAAAATCCTCCTCAATAGTGCCATTGGCTCACATACAAAGCTAACAAGACTTGAAAGTCCATGGTGCCGTAAAGAAAAGTATAAGGAAAATAACCAATCCTGGGACCCAACTTCCATTAACTGACAAATTTCCCACACAAACAACATAATGCAGAGTAAGGAGGGAAACTACACAACTAAACCCTTTCATTAAACAAAACTCTTAGGGGAGCAATAAGAAACAGGTCTAAGAGCACCTCTTTCCCAAAACAAGAAAATGCAGTGATCACAAAGAGGAACCAGCATCAGTCAGTTCTACCTGTCCTGGCTCTAATGGATGGCGCAGAAGGAGAGCCGAGAGAAAAAAAAAAATAGAGACAGGAGACCGCAGTGGAGGGGAGAGAAGAGGCCGCGCCCCGGCCTCGCCCCACATCCATCCTCTGAGTTTCCTTTTTTTTTTTTTTTTACCCCTGTTCATCTCAATCACAAGACATCCGTCCAAGCTTTGCAAGTCTCAGTGAGATCACAGCCATTGCACGCTGACCCAAAAGCCTGCTGACTTATGTGCCCACTGACAACTTCTGAATTTGGGGAGGGAGTGGAGAGGCCTGGGTTCTCCTGAGTGGCTCCCCAACATGGGCAAGGGCCAGTTACCATCAGACTTTCACAAGGACCCTGGGCCTTGCCTGAACCCTCAGGCACGACCACGCAGGGCCGGAAATGGAGCCCCTTGCTGGAAACTTCTGACTAGGACCCTGCTCTGGCCCCGGCTCCACGCCCAAGGGCCACTAAGAACCACTCTACTGGGAAGCCTGACCCTCAACACCGTCCCCCTCTCTCTCTCAGTCTGGGAACCCCATCCCCTTGCTCAGCCTGGTACCCCCGCCTCAAGCCTGGGATCTCCTGCCTTAAGCCTGGAACCTCGCACTCAGCCCTGGAGCCTCAACCTTCAGCCCGGAGATCCCTGCCCTCAGTCCTGGAACCCCTTGCCCTCAGACCTGAGATCCCCACCCTTAGCCTCGGACTTCCATCCTGGGACCCTCGCCCTCAGCCTGGTACCCCTACCCTGGGACCTCTGCCCTCAGCCTGGGAAACCTCGCCTCAACCTGGGGTCCCGGCCCTAGTCCTGAGATCGCCAACTTCAACCCACCCCCGAGGACCCCCAACACGCCAGCTCGGATGAAGTTTTCTGACGGCGAACTTCCAGTCCTCCGGCCTTTCGCGGGGTCTCCGAGGCTGGCCTGGGACGCGGCGTGCGGGCTAACCCCCCGCGCTGGACACCCCCACCACCACCACCACCACCGCCGCCGCCGCCGCCGCCGCCGCCGCGACTTCAACCGGCCGCCACTCACTCACCTGCCCTGCCACGGACAGCGAGGCCGCGGGCCAGGCGGAGCCGGTGCTGCCGATCGGGTGGGGCAGAGGAGGCAGAGTCGGCGCGACGCGAAGCCCGAGGCGACCGAGCGGCGGCCGCGGCGTCTCCTGGCTCAGGCGACGGTAAGCAGCGCCTCGAGCTCTGGCCCGAGCACTGCGCGCGGCGAGGACCCGCCCCCTCCGCGCAGCCAACCACTCCCGCGCAGCCCGCCGGCTCTGGCCCCGCCCCCGCCCGAGGGCAGGGCCTGAGAAAGCGGGCGCCGGGATCCTATCGAACTGCGGGACGGTGACCAGCACGGCCAATCCGAGCGCGGGAAGCTCTCCGGCTGGAAGCCGTTTAGCGTCGAAGGGCGGTTAGGGTGGGGCGGGGCCCCACTCGGGGGCTGGAAAGGGGCGGGGCCTCTGGGAAGGCTAGTCAACTGGTTGGGGGCGGGGGCAGGGCGGGGGCGGGGCCTGGGGCGGGGCCTCCGGAAGGCTAGAGGGAAGGGAGTGGAGACGCAGACGTGAGATGGCTGCGCGCGGCCTGCCCCTCGCCTGCGCTCGCCTGCAGGTGCCCGCGCGGGGGACTGCGGACACCCAGTCTCGCGCTCTGGTATCCTGGGGCGGTCGGTTGGACCCGCGGTCCTTTAGCGACCATGCGGGCCTGATCTGTTGACCAGCAGCCCTTCGTGGGTTGCCCCTCTTCACGGGAGTCTTGGCTAGCCTACGCAACCCAGACTGCAGAACTTGCGTCCAGGTTCTCTCATGTGCTGGGCCTGCACATCTATGCACAAATGACTCCAGGCTGAAGGCAGACGGAAGAACTGGCGGTGGCGGCTGTTGGAAAACATATCACTTTGTTTATTATATTATTATTATCATCCTCATCATCTTTTGTGCACCTCTCTCGGGAGATGTCTTGCTCTGTTTCGTTTCTACTAACTATCGTTTTCATCAGACTAAACTATCTTTCATCTGATTGTACTCTCATCAGCTTACACTTGAAATTCCTTTCTGCACAACATGACGCGAAGGCACCAAGCCATAGTGTCATCCCAGCACTGGTACAAGCTGGGAGTACTGGGACCCTGCCTTGCACCAGTGCCTAGATGCCCAGGCTTCCTAAGGCCTTTCTCCAGCAACCTGGACCAGCCAGAGAAAGGCCTCTTCGGACTCAGGGACCAAGCTTTGCCTTTCACAGATGGGGAGAGGGATCCTCAGATTTCCCACCAGACATGCAGGAAGCATCCCTGGGAAACAGGGTTACTTCTTTGTTATCCGATGAACAGGTGGGTGAGAAGAGAAGTGGGTGAGGGTGAGATTCTCACTGAAATGACAAAAACTCTCATTTAAGCCCTGAGGCCTCAAACCCACCAACGATTCACTTTGGTGGCAATAATGATATATTATACATGCAAAAGAGTCTACACAGAGCTGTCAACCCTCCACCTGTTACAATTATGACCTCTTTTGTAGAGTCGGGAAGACCTTGTAGGTCTGGAGCCTGTCACAGTAACCATGTGGCCCTTGGGAATGTCCAGAGTCATACAGGGATGATGTCCTGGAATCCACTCTGAGGAAAAAGTTCTGAACCCCACATCAGACATACACAGTGGTCCATTGGGGGGTAGGTGGGACACAAAGGGGTGCATGCTTATTTGTCTTCAAATATCACCTGTGAGATTCAATGACAACCTTTTAAAAGAAAGGGCCTGGATGTGGGCAAGAGGAGGCTGCGCAGAGTTCTACCCAGAGGCTAAGTCCAGCTGCAGCAAACCATGAATCTATACAAAGAAGGGATTCTGGGAAGGACTATGGATGGGCTCCTACCTGGGGGAAGCGAGCGGGCATGTGGACAGCAATATTGTGCATTACTGTACATTAACCCTGGGCTTGGGAGAGGGAAGCGTGTTCTGTGGTGGAGAAGAGGTCAGAGGTTTGGAGGAGAGTACCTCGGGCAGCATGCTGGGAATCACCGAGATGAGGATCTCCCTGGAGGATGAACACAGCGGAGTGAGACCAGCCCTCCCACAAGAAGCCAGACCTGATCAGGGACTTAGACCAAGGTCCAAAGTGTCCACAGGACCAGCGTGCTCCGGCCATTAGCCTCCTAGGCTCTGCATAGAGGCTCCGGAGGCTGGAACTGAAACGAGCTCTGCCAAAGTACCCCCACTTCTCCAGATTACAGGTTGCCAGCCTCCTACTCCGCTCTCCAGGAGCCGGGGGGTGGGGGTGGGGGCCTCAGCTGCCTACATCTCCTCCTGGAAGACACACTTAGTCATTAGGAGAGTAATGATAGTGTTTTCAAGGCAGCTTGTTGGACCCTAACAACTTTCAATTATTTCCAGTTCCTGCCAACCCTGGGAAGAGAAAAAGCAGTTCATCTCAGGGCCCCACCCTTGACACAAAAGACAATCGAACAGGCTTCTCCGTCCCATATCCCAGCAGATCTTTGAGAGCCCGGGGCAGGCAGCCCCGCCCCGGGCTGCGGCAGCTGCTGACCCATCATCGCCCCTCCCTCCACACATCCTTGCATCCCTCCAAATGCATGCTTCCTGTCTTCCATTAGCACCACCAGTGCGCTGTCAGCGTGGTCCTTCCCAGGAGAAGTGCACCCAGGGACTTGCATTTATAAATAACTCCATGGTGTCTTGTTGGGGTGTGGAGAGTGGGGAGCGAAGGAACCTTGTAATTATCCTCTGCTTGCTGTGATGTCAGACCAAGCCCTAGGAAGTCTCTGAGCACTTGGCCCTCCAGATTGTTGCACACATCCCTGCCACCAGAGAGCTGGGAGGCCACAGTTTCCAGAGGCTGGGACATCTGGAGGGGTGGGGGTGGAGGCCCCCTTTAGCTCCACATTAGATGGCTCAAAGTGCCGGTAAAATAGTTACACACAGAAAGCAGTCACGATGGTAATTAATGTCAAATGCTCTGCGAGGCGCAGGCCTCCCCCTCCCCCCGCCCTCCGCCCTGGTGGAACGCAGCCCAAGCCCACACCAGCTCTACAGCTGCAGCCCCTCCCCTTCGGGTAGGCAGAGAGCAGAGGGACAGAGAGCATGGGGCAGGACCCCGAGTGGCCTCTGTTGACCGTCAGCCGGACTCCACTTCCTTGCTGAGCCTTCCTGGAGCTAGGACCCACCTGCCCATCAGAACGGCCCTTGGCACGAGGTGGAGAACGGGAGTATACACTCTACCTAGTGGAAAACCAGAGAAGCTCTGCATCTAAAGCCCCTCTTGCTGCGGGCCACATCGCTAGCTGTTTCTGCTGCTAACTCCTTCCCTGCACCAGGACAGCTGCTGTGCTCTCTCAGAAAATGCTGCCTGAGCTAAGCAGGCTGCTCTAGGGAACTCTGGGAGCCAGGGTGGTGTAGGGGAAAATCAAAAGGCAAGAAGCCAGTGCTTCATTGGATACCCTGTTAGGGAACTGCAATCATCAACATCGTCCTCACCATCATCTTCATCACCATCATGACTGGCAGACAGCAGGATCCTAACGTAATGAATACACTTCACCTAACTTACCTGGTTGGTCTTGAATCTGATTGTTAGTGGATGGGGCAATTAAAGGGTTGCTAACTTGCCTCACTGGCCCCGTGTAAGAGGCAACAGCCACATGCAGCAACCATATGCTGCCCCACTTGACAGAATCCTGTCCTTTGTGACTGGGGTTGGAATGCTGCAGAGACCCGCAGAGCTATGGGCAGCCTCACCGAGGAACCCCCAGCTGGGGCGGCAGAGCTGCGGAGGGCAGCGTGAATTGGAACCACATTCACCCAGAAGGCCTCCGGGGAAAAGACAGAGGGTCTCCAGCTGTCACATCCACAGTCTTCCTTTGCAGCTGGTGTAACTTGCGTCTCCAGCCTCCCTGGCCCCTAGACATTTCCCAGAACCATGTTCTGTGGGAGTTCGTGGTTTCTGCATCCTGAAAAGGCTATGGTTCACCTTTCACCTAGGCACACCTTCCCCTAGAGCTGCGGCCCTGGTCCTAAAAGACCTGGGTGAGCACAAGGACCAGAGACCAGGACTGATCTGCCGACTGCCGATAGCTGTGCAGTGGGAAATGTCAGCATTGATGGATGTTTCTTCTACAGACAAGGAAAGAATCTCAGGGTCAGTAACTTGGGTTCAGCCAAGCAGGAAACCCTAAAAGGAGGGGGGGAAAGTGGACACGTGCAGGAGGACCATATGTACCAGCCCATTGGTGGCTGTTGTAGGGCTTCCAATATCTGATTGCGGAAAAGGACCTGAGTCCCACTGTCCCCAGGAGACCAGAGCGCTTGCTGTCTTCCGGCTCTCGGCACTCATATCAAAAGGCAAGTGAGTCAGCAGGCTGCCTTGGAGTGGTTGGTACCTCTGAAACCGAGACTTGAGACTTCGTAGACCCTGGAGTCTGCATCACTGCTGGAGAGAGAGGGGAAAAGAGGGGAAGGAGAGAGGGGGGGAGAGGGAGAGGGAGAGGGAGAGAGAGAGAGAGAGAGACTAGCCACTTCCATGTCCTAGGAGCCTTAGACCCCTCCTTACTTGAAGTCAAGCAGCTCCAGCTTCACCATTTTTATAAGCAAGGCTTCTAATGTGTTTGTGTAAACAAAAGAAAAGCTGCGTCTTCACTCACGTCACATGGCAACAGAGCACCGGGGTCAGCGGGGCTTTATTTCGGGAAGACTTTCAGCGCAATGGCGGCCAAACACCCCTCCCCTTCTCTGTGCCTCTACTGGCGCCATTAAGACTAAAATTAGAACCACTCTTCGTTTTAGTCATGAGCCCCGTGGCACCCACCATCCTCCCGCCAAACCTCCACTAGGTAATTAGAAAGACACTAGAAGGGAGAGGCAAGGCTTTCAGACACCAGATCCTGAGCAGAGGCCGAGCAGACCGATGAGGGCAAGCACCCAGCCCTTGGTTTACCTGCATACCATTAAGGTCGAAAATGGACTTTCACTTTCATTTTGCCGCTTTTTAAAATTAGGGCCACCTCAAGCTTCCATTGATGTGATCATCTCTAATATCCACAGAGGATTTTAAGCGGTGGTACTATTTAGACAATTCCTGTAATAGAAGCTGGGAGGGAAGGGGTCCAACCTCACCAAGACTTCACCAGTTTTCTCAGTAGAGTAAATAAATGTATGTGCATTCTACTTCCCTGTAATCAAAGATCTCCGGGAAATGTTTTAAGGTGAAAATT